TCGAAACATAATAACTACTTATAGCATTGTGGGAAAATCCAAATGTCAGTCCTTCATCAGCGTAAACTAAACTGGACATACACGGCTCTTATTTCTACCAATTGTTTGTTGTGACTTACTGTTGTAAGGAGACATACGCATTCACACATTCACCCTCTTTTCATGCACCAACTTCACCCAACTACAAGTATACAGGCCAACCATAAAGCATAAGATGTGTGTAAGTTTGCAGTCGACCCTCTTTTCTTTTTGTTTAGTAGATTGACACGCTTTTTTGTAGGGCATGTTTTAAGGTTTTGCCCACAACACTAACAAGAGCTTAGCACGGATTCGTGTGAATTGCAGGCGATTGAATTGAGAACTTCTACGCGCAACGTAACACTCTTCACTCATCCATTTTAGGTTTCCAGTGAGGTCAATTGATGAACTCCCCCCAACCGTATATCCTTCAAAAAAATAAATTCGAGCCACATTTTTCCATCAATTTATCTTCAACCCCCATCTATTGCATCACCCTGGAGGCTATGATTTATAAAAATGCTAGCCTAAGTGTGGCAAAATGAACAAAACAGAAATTGATGGAGATGTCTGACTATACCCGTTTGGCTGGATAAATTGCTGTATCCATATTCTCTTGCAAGGTTAACAACCTATTTGCCCTGTGGTTCTACTCTTTATGTGACTAAGATGAGGGTGAAACACATGCTTTTTGTCGACCCCGTAAAGGGCTCGAACTGTCTTGCCTTGGCGAAGGAATTCTTTCAAGAAGTCCTGCCCGTTGGAAAAGGCCTCTTTACAAGTCGGTGTCAGGTGGTTATTCAGCAACTTGGGCAACTCGGCCAGCACTCGTTGATAGGTACTCTCCTGAAGAGAAAAATAAAAGAAATATGAGATGTACTTTCCAAATTTCGTGTAAGGTGATGAAGGACTGGTAGAAGAAGAATTTTCCCACAATAACATGAGTTGAGCTGACGTTTCCATTCAATTTCACATAGCCTTGCTTTCCCAAAAGTTGTTCTCGCCTTAAGCGGAATTGGGTGAATACATCTCATATTACTGATTTACTGGTAGTCACGAAAACAATGCTTAATTCGAAAAAGAAAAAAAGAAGTATAAGCAAGGCCACATGAGGCTAGAGGAATGGGTTTTCAAGGAACCTCTTAATATACCAGTGAGGACATGACTTTCATTTGAAGTGATTGTATGTTTGTGGGTGTGTATTTATATAAGTATATATATATACTTGTGTGTATGTGAGTACATATGTGTGTTTATATGTATGAATGTATTAATGAAGATGTTATTTAATATAACATATTACTATAATTAATTATTTTTATTGTCACTAACCCTATACGTAAGTTAATATCGTAGTGAATACCAATGAAATAAGTACAAATGTTAAAGTGGTCTTTCAAGCGAAATGATACGATGTATCGAGGAAAGTGAGCAAAATTGAAAATAATTTTAATCATAAAATGACCCAGCTGTAGAATATTTGGTCTACTACCTGAGGCCACTTCTTTGCCCATCTGGCCTGGCCGTACCATTTCAGCTGCTGACTTGCCCAAACGAAGCAGTTGAGGTGGCGCCCGACGTCAAGAACTGCCGTCTGACGGCCGGCCAGTCCGGTCTCGAGGTGAAGCAGCCACCGGGACACGGGAAGATTGTGGGTTATGAGGTCGGCTAAAGTCTCGTGTAGCTGGAGAAGAGAAGACATAACGGCAATGAGAGATGAAGTGAAGAAGAGCAAGTCGAAGGATAATCTGTTTTTACAACCACATTCCGAGTCATTTTGGTCTGGCCGATCAGAATAAGAGTAAAGAGGCGAATTGTGATGATAAACTTCGCTTAGGCAGATCGTGTGTAGTTAAGCCTTGTAGACAGGAGCACTGTGAGGGGAAAACTAACTTAAGTTAAGCTGTGAAAATCACACTCAGAATGTCATTAAGTTGAATGGGCATACAAATTAATTGTATTAATTGTAGTCGACGGTATGAAGACCAAGTTGGTGTGGTCTTTTGTGTGGTCGCAGTCTGTTTTCGTGGTATAGAAGTTGTTTGACCTCATTTTTGCAACTTGGTCATATTGGTAGGAACACACCTAGTCCGGTGTCAATTGCAGACATGATCATTTCCAATGTCGGACCGTAGATTTGCTACATTCCCAGACGTTTTGCCGGCATCGTCAGTGAAATAAGAACGGTTAAAAATTGCAACAGTGAACACGTGATAGGAGGATATAGGAAATGTGAATAGACCAGGGCAGAAGGGGAGATACCACAACTGTTTTGCACATGTTGGGTCGAAGGATCGGCTTCACTTGTCGCTTTGACGAGTTGTTTTGTGATGCTAAGAATGGCGAAACGTCTGGGAATGTGCCACGTCCACGGTCAGATTTTGGAAAGGATGATGCATACAATGGACTTAGGACAAGGTGTGTTACTCTGAGTTTTCCTACCAACATGACCAAGTTGCGAAAACAAGGTCAAACAACCTCTCTATTGACTGTGTTCATTCTATTTCGCCTAAGGTGATGAAGGACTGGTAGCTAAATTTTCACACAATCTGATGAGTAAACCCTACATTACCATTACTTTTCACATAACCTTTATTCCTAAACGGTATTTTCATCCAGGCCGAAGTGGACCGCAGGTTTTACCTCGCTTTTGATCTATCAAAACCCCTAGTGGGACTCGAATCGTGACAGTTCAGCCTATAATCTCGACGCGTTAACCACTAAGCCATGGTGGATGTGCCTTTTAAGGAGGGCCAAGCATTTTCCCATATCACAGTCACGTTCCACATAAATGTGAAAATATTCATCTTTCATACCCTATCGCCTTATGCAACTTGAGGTGAATGGAGTTCTGGTAATCCCAAATTCTGCTTAATCTCAACTGATGACACATCAATCCGCATAGATTTTTCCATAGTCTTTGTATCCACTTCATAGATTAGTATGAATAAATATTAATATTATCACCGGCTACCGGAATCATTGCAGGATCGCTTTGTTTTTCCCGACAAAATGCCTATAAAAGCACACCATCGTCCTATGCAAATGATATCGGTTTATAAGATAACAAATCCTACAAATATTGTCGCAAGTTTTCACTTCGTGCTTAAATAAGCCTATTAGCTCGTATAAAGTGTGAACTTTACTGAGATCAAGTTGCCAGGCAATCTAGCCCTGAAGGTACCAAGACTGGGCTCATGGAGTCGTGCCAAGGACGAACTCGCAATCACCGCTTCCGTCATACTCTTCCCATACACTCGTCAGACCATTTATTGAATGAAGATGTGCCAAATGCGAGATTGTCAAATCGCTTGCCTCATCCAATTCGTAGGCATTGAAGTCGCCCGGTGGCAGCTCCAAATGAACTTGCAAGTGGTCGGTCAGTCCGACGAACCTATGCCCGAGCGGTGCGCTCGTTGCCAGTGGACTCTGAGAAAAGGAAGAAGAAGGGCCCAACGATGCTCCCGAAGCATGCGGCAGAGCCTCAGGCCAGCTTGTGAGACCGGCCGACAAATGGTCGTGTTTGGCGTCCATTTGACCCTCCACAACTTGCGCGATGAGGCGCCGCACTGTCGAGTGAACCGCAAACAGATGCGTCAGTTCGGGAGCGCTGCCCCAGACCTGAGTTAGAAGAAAGATAATCTCTGTTTACATTTTCGTAATGGGGCAGAACATAAAAGAAAAATAGAATAACCATTTGAATTCCAGTCTTAATGCAGTATTTAGCCTGGAACCAGTTTAACATGAGATGTATTCAACCAGTTTTTCCGTACATTAATCGAAATTGGTTGAATACATCGCATATTACTGATTTATTGATAGTCACGAAAACAATAGTTAATTCGAAAAATACAGTTTTAAATGGCCTGCTTATTGTGTCTAGCCATTTTGGCATATGCTTCAACCAATCCATGAGCCTTAAATATCAGTAATTGTATCACTCTAATAAACCTGATAATTTCGAAGCCTACTTATCCGGAAGATAGTAGTGTCATTGATTGTAAAGAGAAATTGGTTTTTTTTATTGTAGACACCAGCCCCACAGCAAATCGGGTAGCCGTACAAGTCAAAAAGCGGCGAAATGACGCCCCCTCCACCGCATGGGCTTGGCAGGCCGAGGGATAATCTGAGCAAATGCCGACAATTGTGTCATAAAAAATAGGAGATGCTTATAATGTTTTCGATGTTTGCTTAAAAAGCGCTGGTTAGACGACCTGAGGAGTGGGCAAGTCTGCAAAATGAAGTCTGAAAGTGTCACTGACCTCGAGAGTCATTGTACAAAGATGCACGCAGGAGACTGATCCGAAGGGAATATTCCAAAATAGCTCATTACACAAGTGATCGTCCAAAGTGACGGACTAATCACTCAAGAAGACAAACATTAGAAGAACAGCCGTAGTTTCTCATGAGACCATTCTGCTTTGTGATTGGGTGGCAACCAGCGACATGGGAGACACTACGTGTTGGGCAAGTAGACA